GAGGAGGAAGAGGAGGAGAGGAGTATGGCAAAAGGAGAAAGTATGGAGGAGAAGGAGGGGTATATCCTCACCTCAGTACCCTTCCCTCCTCCTCCTCCTCAACAGCTGCGCTCTAGTTTCGCATTACAGAGATTTGTAAACGTCTTTCAATTTTCTCTTTATCACTGACGTGCCAATTTGCCAGATTTAGAGATATGGGCTGCGTTTCTGCATTAAAAACAGAACTACAATAATGGCTAAGCATATATTAGAGCGCAGCTCTTAAAGGGATAGGGAAACGAAATTCCAGCGCTCATTTTCTAGCCAGAATGTTTTGCCTGTTGCACTCTAACCTAAAAAACACCAGTGTTCCGTTGAAAGGCACAAGAAAACTAATTTTAAAGCTAAATAAATGATCTTTCAATGTGCGCCTGGTGGATGCATGCGGAGCCGCTATTTGGGAGGTAATCTAGAAACGTTGGGGAACTTGCTACGTAGTCGTGACGTAGCAGATTCCTTCGGAGCAGAGCCGCTTTTTGGAATTTCAACATTTTCCGTGAACTGTCCTCCTCAACTAACAAATCGCGAATTGTACACAAACGTCCAAGAAGACGGAAAGGAAGAACTCCCTTCTTTTTCGGACCCTCGTTCGTGCAGCCGGGCACAGCCATTCTCCCGCTAGAAAATTAGCTCGTCCCTCAAAACTCGAACAAAAGTTGTTTTTCCCACCCCGTTCAGCCCTAAGCTGACAGTTTTGTGGAAGCTACGTGCTCCTTGGGCCAGCCACACGCTCGTCACCCCACGGGTACTTCGAACGGCTCGGTTGTAACGCGCTGACGCTATTGACACCACCCCAACACTGACAACGCCACCACAGGCAAAGCTCATAATCACGCCAGCCTATCTACGTCACGAATGCGGGGAATCTTTTCTTTCTGTTTTTGTTTGCGCCGGATATCCCATGACGCATCGCGCTCTCCGTTCGCTTCTCTTCGAACGCTTGCTCGAGAGCACCGTTTGGAACGAGAAATATAGCCAGTCATTCAAGATACAAACGTGCGATTATCATTTACGGTTATTATCCGTCATGCTTGACTTATTTCCGAACGCAATCTGAATATTTCAATTTTTGCTTCCGTACCCTTTTAGGCGCCTGATTCCGGCTTGAGCGGCGTCGCCGTCGGTGTCGGCGTAACCGAGACGTCACGTGGCCCCTTCTGAGGTCACGTGACCCCCCCCCCCCCCCCACTGAGGTTACGTAACCGCCCCCCCCCCCTCCCTGAGGTCACTTAACCCCCGTGAGATCACGGGGTTTACGGGGGGTCACCCCGTGAGGATGGGTATGCCCTCCCCCCAGTACCCTTCCATCCTCCTCCTCAAGAGCTGCGCTTTAATCCGCGTTACAGGGAGCTGTAAACGGCTTTCATTTTCTCATGTAATCTTAAAATGCGTTTAAAGATTATCTTTCTGGCATATTTTTGGTTGTTTTAAAGCAGTATTTTGGTTGTAAACAATCTGTGAACGTCTCTCTGAAACCTGTTTATTTGACATGTTTCGTAAATGTTTTAAAAATAATTTATTGCAAGTCTTTAATTAATACTCTGTGTGCATGTCATAAACCTTTCATAACGCAAGTAAAAGAACATTTTCCTACGTGCATGCTTCGGTGTGAAATTGATGGCTCTGCAAATTACGATAACGAAGCCTTGGCAATCTCCACGTCTCAAGTTTCGAAATAGTATATCTCCGGAAGAAAATTAGCTAAGGCGTTCGCATAATGCTCCTCTCGAGAACATGGTTTTAAGATATATCTTTTACACAAATATAAAAAATATGACCCGGATGATCATTGCACGATCTAGCGTCAAGACACCCTGTACCTAAATTGCGCTGAAGTTAGCAGACTTTTTTTATTATGTTATTGGTGAACTGTTTTGAACATGTGCGTAGCTTTCTTTCTATAGATTGAAAATAATCGAGAGATAAAAAGGGCAGCCATTTCATCATGTTATCATCTTTTTGTTATTCATAATTGACGCTACAGCCTTTTCTGTCTTTTCAAGAAAAACCTCTATAGCTGAAGACGAATGTTTTGCTTTAACAAGAAGTTAATACGCAACTCATTCATGATTGATCTAGTTTAAAATTGCAGTCACGTATATAAATATTTTCAATTACTTGAAACTATTAAAATTTCCAAAATGTGAGACAAGCTAAGAAAACGGAATTAAAAACAATTCTTCGGAATCTAAGTGATGTAAGAACCAACTTTACCGCTATTAGTGAACACGTTCGCAGGTTAATCCTTGGATTTATTTACCTGAGAAGCGTCCAGCTCAAGTTCGAAGCTTTTTCAGCTTAAGAGCGATTTTCTCGGCAAGCTGCTGATTTTAGCCGATATACAAAACTAAGATTAATTTTTTTTTCAAGATACGCTGTATTTTGTTTAAGGAAAATTATTATAATGAGCTGTGTATGCATTACGCAAAAGTTTTGTGAATGGGTTCGGATGCTATACAAACCTTGAAAGTTTTATCATAATTTTTGTGTTCAAGAGTTTATGTTATAATATAAGTGTTTGTGAATCTTTTCGAGCACGTCGAGGGTTATTTGTGGCTTCTATATTTTGTGTTACACTTTTAATTATTCCTGTAAAATATTCAAAGTCCCGACCAAAATGGAATCAAATGTGCACTACGTTGGTCATGCCTGAAAAAAAAAAAATCTTCGAACGGAGAATACGTGTTAGAGCAGTAAATGTTGATGAGTATGTGTCACGTGGTAAAGGGATTGTTGTTTTATGGGTCGCGTGGTCACGATACTTCGAGAAGCGGCCTCACGTGTACATGCCACGTGAAAAGGGACCCCATGAGGTGAAGTGACCAAATCAAGTGACGTCACGTTGTAGTGTCAAGTGACGTCTCTTCGCCCCTGACGTTTGACCCTTCCTGCTTTATTTAACGTGAAACATCAAGCGTGAGAGGTCACGTTACGTAACGTAGCTCTAAAATTTCGTGAGTGATAGCCCTAAACGATTTTTACGCCTAATAACCTATCATAAGCTCTGTTGAAATCTTCTAAAGATAATATTGAATGTCAATTAATTACTACATCATCTTTTCTGAAGTAAGTCACGTCGAAGCGCAGTCGTTCGCTTTAAAAAAAATTGTTTTCTACTTCTCAAGATTCTAAGGTTCCAGGCTAAAAATGCTCACTAAAAATGTTTGTTTTTGTAAAAAATTTATAAGTACCGTATTTGCCGGACTACAGTCCGCTCCCGTTCTATAGTCCGCAGGGGCAAATATCGGGTCAAAATAAAAGCTCTTGCTTAGATAGCCCCTGACCAGTGAATAGTCCGCATGCCGTCCACAGTCCGCACCTGGTGCTTAGTCGACACGAACATCTTCTCATAGACGGCTCACCTTGACAAATATACGCTTGCTTAGCATACAAAAAAGCCCCTTGTAATATACATAAATCATCATTCAGGTACTCTTTCCTTCACAAAATCCGTCACGTCTCGTGATAATGAACGATCTTGAAAAAGTAAATTCCTGTTATAGTCCGCACTTCTAGATAGTCTGCACTGTGTAAAGTTTTAACTTTCAAACATCTATAGTCCGAAAAATACGGTGCATGCTTTTAATTTTGGTCATCTTAAATGACAACAAGACGCTAATTTTATTTATTTAAATATATAAAAAATACATACACACTAACTTTCTGAGTTATTTCGGGTTCTAGGGCAAGCTACTATAGTCATGGGTTAGTTATTTAATTAAATAATTTCAGTAAATATTACCGAAGGGCTCCTGTAACACTAAAATTGAGGGGGTAATTTATACACGGCATGCTCAGTATTATAACGAAAAAGTTGAAAAGAGATTTTTTTTTTAAATCTTAGTTTCAAGTAATGTTTTTTTAAAGTACTTGATCCCCAAAACATCTTAATGAAAAACAACAAACTTATAGTTTTAAGAACAAACCTTTCTTGCGCTTCTTTTTTATAACATTGAGTACAGTATTCGGTGTAAAATTATCACCCTCTTAACATTAATATCGGAGGAGAAAGATGAGTCCCGTGGTACTATTGACTCGTTAAATATTTATTTAGACTACCTATATGACAATATTACCTCGCTCAAAAACACTTAAGAAAACGGGAGCAAAGCTACTTGTAGGTAGTTAATTTTATCTTTCTTTTTGTTAAAAGCTCTCTTGTAACCGCTCAAGACGCCGTGGGTCCGGAGACCTAATCGTTTAGTTATGTTTTGAAATAAAACTTTTGGAATTAGTAGCTCTCGTAGACGTTTATGTTCAGGTATAAAAATATACTCGTACGATACCTTACTCCACGCGCATAATCTCCCGTTTGCACCAGGTATAGAGTCGCAACCAGTATAATAATGATATTAAAAAAAAAAAAAAAAACAGGCGAGCGCGTGGCTTTGAAGACCTTCAGTGCTGTCTAACGGAGAAAGCTGAATTATTATCGAGGCTGTTTGTGTGAACGAGCGGCATTTCAACGGCTGTTCGACTTTTGTGGTTACTCCCCACTTGGTCGGCAGACGATTGCTGAGTCAACGCAGATGGTAGTAGTGTTCGGTGACATAAAATAAAAACAGCTTATCGATATTTTTCCTTCATACTTATTAACAAAAAACGATTACTCAATTTGCCGCAACCACGCTTGATTTTGCCTTTTGACGCGGAACGCTTTTATGTTCGGCGAATTCAGCAACTCAGTGACAGCTGGTCACTGAGTTGCTGAACTCAGTGACCACTCAGCTGGTCACTGAGTTGTTGTTTGTCGAGTGGCGACAAAAAGAGACCAGCCGCAGAAGCCTCCATAACGGTTGCGCTTTCTCCTGGTAGATAGCGCTGTAGTCCTCGTAAGCCACTTGCACGCCAGGGCTTTTTCATATCGTCCGCGACTGTATACATTATTTTGGGTATAGTTTCCACGTGTTGATGTCATAGAAGCGCTCAGCAAAAACCCTCGACCCCAGGCAGAGCGGTACCTGGGCGTTCCTGGCCTCGTGCTCGCAGCCCGGCACCCGTCCGGCCCACTCGCAGCCCCCAACCTGCGGGTTGAAAGCCAGTCCCTTCTGGCAGTTGAGCTTGGAAGGCACGCCGTTGCTGCACGTGTAGAACTCGGCGCAGTTCTGGGGGTCCTCGTGCGGGAAGTAGCCGTTGGCGCGGGGACACTTGGGCGTCGACTTGGCCTCCTCTGCGCAAAAGAAACAACGCCACGTGTCCTTGTCACGAGGTTTCTCCGTTCCGAGCGCACTACTGGTTAAAAATTCCCAAGAGCGTGCTTCTTACACGCGCGTGGACGCTTCGAGCACTGATACTCAAATGTGTGGAGTGTTTAAGTTGTTATCTTCACTTTGAGCGCAATATAATGCCGAACAATCCCGAGAGCATGCTCTTTACATGCATTAGAAAGCCTCGAACAATGATAGTAGAATGTACAAGGGTGTGGACTAGAAGTAGGTAGGCCAATCTAGAAGCGGGCTTCTGGTCGATGCCAATTTCGGTTTTCGTACGTATGGCACCTGCTTGGCTCGCCTCTTGGAGCGACAAACATGCACATGCTGGGCTACGATCTGGCATGTGGGAGCACGTGTGGGCTGTCATTTTGTAAGCATAGTAAATGTGTTGATCTTTAGCTGTTCTTCAATTATTTCGCACCTTAGAATGCCTGTCAAACATCCTAATAATCAAAATGTAAGCCTGCGCTCTTAATATATATATATATATTATCTTAAAAATAGTTCACAAAGTAAAATTGGTTCGTTTAGCTGTTCACTTAGGGGGGGGGGGGGGGGGGGGGCTTTTGATTTTATATGGTCAAGACTCCGGTTCTCAATAAGGCACTTTAAACTCACTCACTCCATCACATTCTTGTCTTCTTTTCTTTGTTAATACACTCTCAGGCAATAGGCTGCATGGAAATGTTGTTGCTCACTGCTTATACCAACAGCACACTCGTAAACCTGCTTACGACGTAACGTTAACGGATACGTGATATGCGAGCTGGCAGACTGCAACATGACAAATGAAATGCGAAGGTTTGTGTCTTAAACAAATACACGCTCCCTGAGATTTAATATAGCAGTGCAGGCACATCGTTGACAAAGGGAGTATTTTTCAAAGCAGTCAGTTTCTCTACCCTTTAAAGGCAAAACAAAAAATAAGAAGAAAAACCTCGACCGATTGTTGTGTAATAAACTACTTCCTAGAGAAACAAACAAAAATGGCGGTCAAATGTCAGATGATATGTATAATTACTGATATAAAGTGGTATCACTTTGTCTTGATATGGTGTCATATACCATAACAGTGGAGTATTTAACTTGTGGCTGGAGTATGACTGCTAACCTTCAGTTTTTGACATGCATCAGGCAGTGGTGACTAGACCAGCGCATGTCTACATGGCATGCATTGGTATCAAAACCAGCATTCCGTAGCCACAATATTTTGGTGTGTAATTAGTACTTTTCTCAAGGTTGTCGACCTGTGGTACGTTAACACACTTGACCACCGAATCGTCCGACGCTTCTCTCTTTTAACCCGCGTTTAACCGCACAAAAAGGGACATTGAGCTCCCACCATTTAAAATAGAGGCATTTTGAAGTACTCGCTAAAGACACTATTTCACAAAAATCAACTTTCCCCGAAATAAAAGAGTTATCGCGATATTTGTGAGGCGAGACTGATTTTAAGTTAAAAGTATATCCGGAACCTTTTTTTTTTTTTTTTTGGACCTCGGTTAGAAAAGAGAAACTTGAGTCCAAATCGCTCCAATCAGTCACATGACGTAAATACTAAGCCAATGTGTTCGTGTTTTTAGTTTCGTAACTAGCACGTTTACTATTCGCGCACTTAAATATTTTGTGTGGGGCATTTCGGTGTTCCTTTAAGGTTCCTCTGTGTGCTCCGTGGCAAAGAGCGTCTCTCACGTAGGTAAGGCCTTTTGGAGCAGTCGACGTTGCTGAGAAAATCGCAGCGCGCGTAGAGCGGGTTGTTGTCCAGGAAGGCCATGCCGTCCCCGCAGAGCTTGGGCTTGGCCACGCCCTTGCGGCACTCGTAGTACATGTCGCACTGCTCGGGGTCCGGGAAGAAGCCGTTCTTGCTCGGGCAGACGAACTCGCCCAGGACGCACACCAACGCTGCACGGGAAGGCGTCGGGAGACCAGGTCAGAATCAACGCTGTGCACAATCGACCGTGCACGCCGGACAATGAAAAGGCGCCATTATGTGAGCTTTGTTTTAGATGCTAGAAAGGCACCCCTTTAATCTGAAGCCGATACTTCCCGTACGCATGATGCATTAGCAATATACAGAATGTTTTTAAGGCATTACAGATTTCATATGATAACCCTGGAGCCAGGAGCATGGGGGGAAGGGGGGGGGGGGCGGGACGGACAGCCCCATTAAGCTCCAATACATCCAATACTCGATACCTTGTCGTGTATTGAACCAGCTCACTTGCCCAATTGCTTTAAGTACACATTTATTTTTACGTCGTGAAAACTACACTAATGCGGTCTGTGCAGGTTAGGTCTACGGCTAGGGAACAGAATATAAGAGGCTACCCAATAAGCCAGGTAATTAACTTAAATTTGTTAAGTAACTTTTTTAATTATTGAAGATAAATGCATGGTTCAAATCCAATATTTCTTGAGCGTCATCGCGTACCACAAAATAAGAAATTAAAACAAAATAATTAGGGCCCGTGAGAAGCGCGATGGAGGTTGTCACTCATGCAACAGGCGCAAGGCTTGCTACGCAAAAAAGCGCTCGCGCAATTTTCGGTTTGTTTTGTTGTATCTTATCCTTTACGTTTTGCACAGCCAGCATTGCTCCCGTTGCACGAGGGTTAACTTTAGCACACGTCCGCGCTTCCCACGTGCCCCGAATCTTAACTAATGTAGTGGTTTTCGATGACGCTCAGCACGTTTCTGATTAAAACCATACGTTTATTTTCAATAATTAAAAATTACTGAAAGATATACATTTAATTATATGACTCATCGCCATGATTAGCCCCTCATGTTATGTCTGTCTGGCCGTGTAACTCACCTAAAAAGCCCCAATTAGTGTAGCTTTCACGGTTTCTTAAACGCAAACCTGTAAAGCATAAAAGAAAAACACCCCGTAGATGCAAACCTGGACAGCGAGACATCACGTGACCTAAGTTATTAGGTGACATCACGGTGTCAAGTTGTGTAGTCCCATGACGTCACTTTACGTCTTTCAGTGTCACGTGACATCCCGTAAAACAGTGACGTCACTACGACTCCACATCCAGCTTTATTAGACTTAATGACAATGATGACAACCCAGCTTTACGTAACCTTACGCTGGTACGTTACATCACGGTGTGGAGCGATGGTGTCAAGCGACTGCACTTTACGCGGCACAGTGTCACATCACGCCACGTGCACGATAGCACGACTTCGCACCGGTAGTTACGCGACCTGACGTCACGGGGCGCAAGTACGTAACACCATGACGTCATGTAACCTGGCGCGGTCTGAAGCACGTCACGTGGTCACGTGACCCGCAGTGGCACCCCCCCCCCCCCCCCACGTGACCATTTTACCCATCTGGGTGTTCCACTAAATTAAGCAGAAAGTTAGCCCGCTAAATTTAGCTGACCACGGCACGAAACGGCGACGCTGCACAAATCCCAACTTCGGTTTCGTTAAAAAGCGGTCTACATTAAAGAAAACAATATTTCTCATTCTTCTCTTTGCATTGTATTTTTTCGCAGATAATCTGAGGTTTTAATAAACCAGGTTTGCTCTTCTACTTGCCTACGATGCACGCTGAAACTTAGAACTGCCATTTTCAAACGGACATCAGAAAGTCGCATGATAACGACAAGAATTGGTCTCAAAATCGAGATTTATCTCCAAATTTTAACACAAAACGTTATGAGAAGTGTACCGTCATAGGCTGATTCTTGTGAAGTAGGCGTTAAAAGTGCTTCGCCATTTGCTGGACTTTTTACTACATCACTAACGCACGCGTGCTCCGCAAGAAGAGCGCGCAGTCCTCGGTTGTTCGGAACTCGTGGTAGCTGCAGCTAAGCAGAGCAACGCACCTTACAAATGTTGCCAAGGAGCGAAATGAAATGAGCAGCGTAAGAGTAATGTCATGGCTTGTGACAGATATAAAAAGGTTCGGGCGGGGAAAAGAATAACGTCGTGACATGGCTCATTTCCGCCGCAGGTGGGTCAACCTGGTAGAAGACGCCTAAGCAGAAGATTCGACAATCGTGGATGAATTATCTAAATTTAATATACGTTGAAAAATTATTTAAATTAATTTTGGGCTGGGATAAATTACTATTTTACAAATCGCTTATCCTTTAGTGTGCAAAGAAAAAAAAAATTAGTACACGAGGATAGAAAGTCAAAAGCCTTCTTTTCGCTACGAAAATTTGAAGATATAGCGGACTATTTCGTACCTCCTTTCCTTCGGAAGCTCTCCGTCTTTTCACTAGAATGCATCCGCAGTGCCCAAGCACATGAGCCGTACCAAGCTCACTTATTGGCCATGAGCACTGCCTTACTCGGACATATGCGCTCGTCAACAATCAATCCGTCGACAAATACTAATATGTATTAGCAATAGTAAATAACTAAACTAGCAATAAAACGAAGGCGGTAGTTTTATATCGAAGGGTTTGACGTAATATTTAATTAAGTCATGCGATGGTACGATTATGTTCAAATGATTGCTAACAAAATTTTCAAAGGTAGATGGAATAATTTATAAGTACAAAAAAAACAAACAGTACCTTTCTCTATTCTACGACTGCTGTATAACCCTTTTGCCTATACTTGTTTATATTTAGTGTTTTTTGGTCTGGGGAATCACAACTATTGCAAATGTTCACATCCTCTATGTACTGCAGAAAAAAGTAATCCGCATTTCGGGCAATGCAGTGGATGACAGCCACACGGCACCAATATTCGAAAAATTAGGTACTGTTCCAATAACAATGTTTTATTATTGCAAACTCGCCCTAACATACAAAACAGCTTTGAGTAATCCGAACAGTAATCTCATCGCTCTTTCTTCTATTCGCTTAAAATGTAATTTGTATTACATACGACATGCCTGTACCTGCACCGTCTTCCACACCAGATGAAAACTATGGAAGTCAGATTTATAGGTTCCATCTCCCGAAAGTACTAAATTTCATTTTGTCACTAGGAATAGATATTGAAAGTTTTTCTCGCAAAAATATACGCTCGTTGCTCGTGTCGTCGAGCTTATTATAGCAATGCTTTCACTGTGTACACAAAACATGTTGTTATTTTTTTTTTATTGTGGTTCTCTTTGCATGAGTAAAGTGCTGTTCTGTTGTTGCTGCTGTAGGAAGAGGGGGGGGGGGGGGTTCTTGCAAGCAGTTCTTGTACTGCTTTATACGCTCTTCTCTCGCTTCTTGTATGAAGAAAAACAAACAAAACTGAATTTAATTGAATTGAATATTTGGATTCGCGTTCGTGGTCAACGATGCACTTATCATCACCCGCGAATTTCAACTTTCGTGGTAGGCTTAAAAAGCATGATGGAAGTTTGGAGTCATCACATCCGGTGCCCAAGCACGTAACGACCACGTGATTTCTCATTTCGTTGTTGAGTAGAGGATTGAAGCTAAGGAGGAGAAAGTTCAGAAATAATTTCACGGTCCCTTTATTATTTACAGTGCGGTAGAGTTAGTAAAAACAAAAAAGGTGGCGCTTGTAACTTAAGAAGCATAGTGACTTACCACTAGCCACTTTAAAGAAAAAAATTGTTAATATCTTGCTTCAAAATCACTGCGCTTGACTTTAGTAGTTGAAGTAGCAAACGCTGGTTGCTCACTAATAGCTAACGAAGGAAGGAAATTTTAGTTAACCTAATTAATAACTATGGCCTCTCAAAAGACCAGCCAAAAACAATGTTAACACGCGGCAGATTACAGCCGTCATTGCTGACCTTCTCTCGTTTTTCCTAGATGCCAAGCAACAGAAGCGGGCGTTGACGAGTTTCCACAAAGGCCGACGCTTTGGAGAAGGACACGGTAACATCTAAAAGAACAATAACCTGTCCTGCTGTGGTAACGATGAAGTGCAGTGAACAAAAGCAGATGAAACAAATCTGAAGGTCGGTTTTGGCGGCGCCCGTGCACAGCTGCCTTAAAACTTCTATAGATGATGATGTTACCATTGAATGCCTAACGTATCTCCAATGCCCTGTCTCACCTAAACGAAAGCTTCTGAAGGTTGTCGTTTAGGCCCTGAAACTCGTGTTGACTGCACAAACACTCATGTAGCTTAAACACCAGACAAAGCTAACTTACCGTGCTTGTTGCCATCTAGTGGGATATCATAATTTTATATGTTTATTGAGAACGCGCTAAAAACTAAATGCACATACCTCTGTGTTCTCACAGAGCGCTTGGACAGCTTAGACTCGAAGAAAAAAGAATGCTGTCGTCTTACTCCCTTTTGTTCCATATAATTCACCCCAAAACTTCAGTTAGACGTACAACAAGCACACTGACGTCAAACAGACGGCCCCAATTTTTATGAGGGAGTTGATAACGGTGCCATAAAACTGATTGGACAAGTAAAGTACGTATCAAAGACTACAGAAAAACACACTGACGTTTTGCAATAGGGGCAAGAAAACCCCAATTATTATTTCTGTCTTTCTTTTGTTTGTAGTCAGTTACATGCACATTAGCTATTCTAACAAGTTGTACCACTCGGCTATCAAGCCGTTCATGAAAGATGGTACCGTCGGTTCAACTTCAGTGCAGTGGACGTCGAACTCAAGTTTGGGGGTGTCTTGTATAAGACATGGGGTGTAAGAATATACCCTTTTTCTGTGAGAGTGTTATTACCGCCATCTATACGGATAAAGTAAGGCGAATAACGAGGTGAAGAAAGCGCTTTCGGGCAAGGAAATACATGTCTTCATGTGCCGCAACTCCACTTACTCCGAGTCTCAACACCCATGCACTTAAATGTTGACGCTATGACAGGGAGATCAAGCGCCGACTCAGATGGGGCACAAGTGTTAATGTCAGCGTTCAGTTGGGACTCGTGTCCGGTCAGTGTGTTGAAAGAAGCCAGCGTTGGGTTTGAAACCGGTTGCTAAGTTGGCGCCATGCGAGTTTAATGAATGATGTTTTGGGGAGTTAGAGGAGGCTGTTCACGGGATTCGTTTTTACTCTAGGTAGTGTTGGCCGAGCTCGCTCCGTATGACGTAGGGATTGGCGCACAGAGGGCTTCACTAGAAAATAGACACATCTGTGATGACCGCGGTTGAAGGACCGCAATGCGAGCTGATCGGTGGTGTGTGATCGTCGAGGAATCGAATTGGTGTTGAGGTCACGTGACATTAATTTTCCCGCTAAATTTCGCGGGGAGGCTGAATTAAAACCGTGTAGGAGACATTAAATCGTTGTTTCGGGGAATAAAAAGAAACCCTGTTTTTTTTTTTTTTTTAGATTTCCCGATAGATTGAGCGGGGAAGATAAATGTGTGTATAGTCTGGAGGCGTCATGTCACGCGACGTTAAATTTTCCGCTAAAATTAGCGGAGAAAGTAAGTTAGTGTATAGGTCCCATGAGGCTAGGTTACGTGACATCAATTTTCCCTCTAAATATAGCGGGAAAAATGATTTAGTGCATAGGTCACCTGACATCAATTTCTGCTCTATATTAAGCAGTGGAACTGACTCGGTGTTTAAATCACGTGACGTGAGGCCCCGTGACGTCAATTTGTTCGTTAAATTTAGCGGAGGAACTGATTTTGTGCGTAGTTCACGTGATATTAATTTTCCCGCTACATTTTGCGGGAAGGCTGAATTGGTGTATTGGTCCCGTGCCATCAAGTCGCGTGGCATCAAATGACGTCAGGTGGCCTAAACACAAATTCAGTTCTCCGCTAAATTTAGCGGGAAATGCACGGACGGACGGACGGACGGATTGAAAGATAAAATTTCGGTATTGAGAGTACCGTTAAAAAGGGCATTTCATGCTTTAAAAATGGCGGGGCATCGCCGCAAATGCGGCGCGTCACTAGCAGCTAGAACAGGCCGGCAAAGGCGCGCACAAACGGTGGCGCGTCGCCTGCAGTAAAAATAGGCCAATAGGAACGTGCGCCAATGAGAAGCTTCATGATCCGAAAACGGCGACGCGTCACCGGCAACCAATAGGATCGCTCGCGTCTTTATCAATCGATGCAGGTACGGTTAAGTCGCTCTCTTTAGTAGGCCGTGAACGGTGCGACAACTGCAATCCGCAGTCACGTGGTGCTTCTGCCTTCCACTCTCGACCGCACACCCTCACACGCTCGGTAAGAGGGCACCACTTTCGACTCAGAGTGTACACACCTGACACTCCTCTACATGAGCTGAAGCCCGGAACTGGTCTTGCCCGCGCCGTCGTCACTGTTTCCCTCCTAGCCCACAACAGTAGAGCTTCAACGTTTCCACGAAAGCAAGCTTGGGGCACCGCCGTTAGGGGGTAAAGGGTCACCTCTCTTGTGCACAAGGCACTTAGGAGTCTCTCAAAGTACCGATCATTCACTTGTGTTTTCAATCAACTTCGTCAGCGACCATAGGTCGTGTGGCATGACGCTAAAAATCGTAGTCGGGGGCAGTTTAAGCGGTAATGAAGTGAACGCCTCCGCCACCAATAGAGGGTGCCCTGCGGGACAGCATTGCATCCATGGATGCATTTACTGCAGTCCCTGAGAGATAAAGAAAAAAAAAAAACAGAGCTTGTTGTTTTTTTCGTTTTGCGAGTCGTTTTTCGGCCTTCTTATCGGCTGGTGCCACAATCTCGTTGGTTGCGGAGCAGTAATCAGATGCTTGCCACACCCCGAATTTCTTAAGCTACCACGGAATATGGAGTCCACACTTCGAATCGAAACCTTCGACGAAGCCAACAAGTTACACGGGCACTGGCGTGCCATTCTCTCGGGGCTTAATTAATCGGCGTTGCCACTTCGCCGCGTCGATCAGGAAAGCGAACCCCCTGGCTCAAGCTTGGGCGCTTTCCAAGGTCCGTTACAAAAGACGCCAGGAAAACGACGCCGATCGCTGCAGGCGCCGGTGGTTATGTCTGACCTACAAACGAAAACAGATCCTATCGGCCCCCCCCCCCCCCCCCCGCCCTCCTTACCCCTTCTCCCGCCCCGAACGGTGCGTGAAACAGTATCAAAAATACGGATAGTTATCTTCTCACCCGTTCCCAGCAGGACGCCGAGGAAAGCCAGAAGCGTTGACGTGGGAGCCATTCTTGACGACGACGCCGGCACAGATGCAAACCTGGAGATGACTTGGAAGAGCGGGAACGCTTCCACAATTGTGCCTGGCGGGGGTTCTTGTCTAGAGATGCTGAGGAACAAATTTACAGTTTTTTTCCCTCGCCCCGCGAAAACCGGATGGCTGGAATGCAAGCGCCGGGAACGAGGTTACGCGGTTTTTGCTTCACTTTTCGGGGGGCGCCTCTTCGCCCGGTTCTCGTCCGTCGCTCGTCCGGTACCCGCCGCTGCCTCCCGTTCTTCGGGACGTGCTCGGGTTGCTGAAAAGGTGGAGGTCTTTGTCGAAGTCCATGTCTGAAAGGCCTTCTCGCTGCTATGTGTCTGGGGCGGAGAAAGCGAACGGCTCGCCACTTTCCTTTTATTCTGGCGCTCATTGGCTCTTCATTGGCGATTCACCGAGTAGTCATGCAGTTACCCTTCGTCTCGATCAGGTTTTCTTCTTTGTGCGGGGTTAGGCCTCTCAATGCCTTGGGAAAATGTCGCACTTTTTGCCACTATAAATTATTGCACCATCGCCTATAGCTTTGAAGGAGTATAGGTCTGGCATTTAACCGCCTGGCACAGCGGTAAGTACAAAGCTTGACTTAGCGCCATACGCAGAGCTTACTAAGTATGCGAACAAAAATGCAAAGCATGATGACCACATCTTCTATATTTTACAGCATCAAATCGAATCATCAGGCTTGTTAAGTCTCAAGTCCCAGAGTGACTATTTTTAGTCAAATATGTTGGATTATTTGTCTTAATTATTGCCTATTTCATTTTTACGACTGCCACATACTTGCAATTGTACTTTTTATACTTTCTTTATTGACCTGCACCTATTGTCCCATATCTACGCAATTGAGTTACTCCGTCGGGAGGACAACTAAATGCTGTATGAGGGATGCCATTCTTCATATGGTTTGAATTCATGTTTGCCACCAAGGTTCAAATATTAGGCAAAAAGAGTTAAACATTTCCTTCGTTATTTTGTACAAGTTGTTCAATGCTCATGAGGAGGGAGCTGTAACTTAATGGTGATGTTAAAGTTTATTTTCAATTTTCGTCGAGCGTATATAGATTTCCACAACTAGAAAAGTGGTGTAACCGCCACTCCGATATGCATTAAGCCTTCTTATGAGCTGTACATTCTGTCGAATCAGACAAAATTCTTGACGCCTTCTGTTTCCGGCTTTTCACTAATGCAGTTTTCTGAAAGGTCGTTAGGCACCCGTTTAAAGTGCTGTGAGCGTCTTTTTAATAACATGCAATATCACACGCGCGATTTATCAGGTTCATTTCCCCTTCATATCGCAACTGCCGTTCTGCTCGGAGGTGTTCATCTTTCATAACTGGACATTGTTTTTGTGTTTGTTTGCTTTATTATAAAACGTTCCGCGTAATATGCAGCATATTGTTTAGATGAGGAATTCTTAGCAATTTTCATTTCGTATGTGATTGCTGCCTTGGGTAAGAAGACGCTGTGTTTACATTTTTTCTTCGAAATGCAATAAAAGCTGAGTCCAATAGTAAGTCACGAAAACACAAGACGCGTCTCATTCACGTGTTCTTAATTTGTTATGTTATTCCACGACTTCTCTTGTCTGCTCTATTTTTTTTCCCATGTGCAAAATTGTACGTTGGCACACCTGCGACATCTTATGACGTACGCCTTGATATCTCTGAAAATCTTTTACAACGAGAGACCACAATGACGCCATCTATCGAGTACCCGTGGAACACTCGACTGTCCCGTAGATATATATATATTTTTTTTTTTTTTGCGCATTTCGTTTCGTCTTTAAATAACTTTGTCAATGTTATGAACGACCATTTCTCACAGGTAGTGCGTACATTTCACCTCGCAGATACCGCAAAACCTTCGTTCTATTAAGCTGCAGTTCCAGGGTCACCGCATAGGTGACGCCAGCGTGCCAGTGTGTTTAGTGTGTTCTCTCGTAGTAAAAAACTTTAAGAAGTTTTAAGGCATTCGGTTCTAAAAAAGCTGCAAGCGCGTAAACGGGCCTTAATAGCCAAATAATAGAATTTGAGAAACGCAAAAAAGAAAAAGGAGGAACACGATACTTAGCATACTGGGACGGCGTTCCCTGATTATGCTTGTGCCTTTCCCGAGTGTTAAATTATTGGAGCGCATCCCAAGATGAATCGCCGAAAGTTGAATATTTTGTTCTTTCTTTCTTTAACGTTTGACACAACGTTGTTCTTCAATTACACTGTCACCACAGCAGAATGGTGTAGAAACTTTAAAAATCCCACTTTAAGTAAAAGTGTATAACATCATCCCAAGCAGCACATACACGTGAGGAAAACGTCGAAAGAACGTCGAAGACGTCTGTAACGTGACGTCGTACAACGTCGAAGGTCCGGACGTTACCTTCCTTCGACGTCGATGAAACATTTAAATGTCCGCAAGAAAAGGAGCAGAAAAGGTCGAGGGAACGTTCCAAAGGACGTTTGTCACGTCACATGAACGTCTCAGTGGGCCGTTGCGTCCTCCTTCGACGTTTATGACACATGTGTTTACGACATCCGGACTACCAACGACGTTCACAGAACGTCGAGAAACCATTCCAAATTACGTTCCCTAGGCGTCGTGGGGAAGAGGTTGCGTCATTCCCCCCCCCCCCCCCCCCCAAACAACTAAAAAAGTAGTTTTTAAGTACCATTGCGACGGCAAGTTGTTCTCATGCAAGTACGCATTATATTATTATATTATATTATATAATTATATTACAAGTATTATAAGTGCAAAGAAAGTAACTAAAACACAGATTTTGTATGAACTGTTTATTTGAGCTATTTCGAGACAGGAGATGCACTATGGAGCGGCGCCAAAGACGTCCCTCGATGTGCCAGCCTGAAAGATATAAAAGAACAAACAAATTCACGTAAAGAAATTAACAAGAGACGATGTCACGCTGCGCGAAACGTTCCACCTCTTACCTTGTTCTGCCTCTGGTTAATGCGCTGACGCGCGTGCTTTAGCCACCCCATCGCACATAGGTGGTACTCCCGCTGCGTGCACGGGAACGGCTTCAGGAGTGTGATCCCGTCTGCAACAAGGACAAATTGTTAAGAAATCAACATTATTCCAAGGTTTAACAAGCAACCTTCGAGGCGCCTGTCTTGAAGCCCAGCTAAAAAGCTTCAAGACAAAATAAAGAAATCGTAGACACGCCTACGCTTTGAAAGGCAAGAACACAAACGCGTAGATTTTGAAACAGTTGCGACTTATTAAGTCTCATAACGACAGAAAGTTTTCCTCAAACTGGCAGATATCACCCAGCAAGCTAGGAATGTCTTTTCGTGTGCAGGTTGTTTCGAAGACTACCGTCGGGAAGTATCAACTGCTTGAGTCGAGGTGCGTGGCACCTTTCCGGGAAAGGACGGCAAAGCTTAAAAAGCGAGTATGACTGGTCAAGTTATGTGGAACCAAAAACGTAACAAACAACAGCTAGCATGTGTGTATTAAGGACACTCACCGAAAGCCGCCGCCGCTAGACGAAGGGAGCCAAACCTAAGCTTTCCTTTTGCTCCGCACCAACTGTACTCAACTGCCGGCTCGTCTGTTAGCATTGCCCTGAAGAGCCGTATCACAGCTTCTGATGGCGAGTGTCCACCGATCGTGGAGATCCACTTGACCTGGATACAAGGAATAATAAAAAAAATCGTCAGGAGTGAAACCTGCGTGGAGTCGGAGTAATACTGCAATTGCTACGTAGGAAGCTGCCGTAATACGAGAATAATTCCAGGAGCTGCGAGCTTTATTATCGCCACTTCTCTTGCGAGTTCATCAGTCTGCCTTACCAGGTCACTCCGGTATTCCTCGTCAACCAGTCTCGCTTCGAGGGCCTCCAACTCCTCACGTTAACTGAGAGGGAAGTGGCTCGATGTCCTGCTGGCTCCAATGGGCGCCGCCTGCTGCTGATCAATACGCCGTTGCAAGGCCTCGATGATTTCATGTAGGCCAGCGACCTCAGCCCTTAGCTTGAGGACCTCTCTAAGAATCACGTGAGCAGTATCTGTAGCAAAAAAAAAAAAGATGTTGAAAAAACGTTGATGCGGACGCAGAAAACCAAACGGAGACAACGGTGGTCGCTCAAAGCTACTGCATTGAGATATTGAAAAGTGCACAAACCCTGCTCAGAGCTGCCGCCGGCTCCTGCAGACGCTTCATGCCGTACCGTGCTTTGATCACGCTGTCCGCTGGTGGCATCTGAGCTTTCAAGCTCTGGGTTCCTACAAAAATCGGTTGTCACGACCACAATAAGGCGAAACAAATATATGTGGATGATTTAACAAATACGGTTTCGCTGACCAAAACTAGCGCACTCCCTCACCGTAGACACCAGTGCAAGGGACGTGTGGTAGAGGAACTATTTTTACCTGATGGAAGGGAACTCCGGGATGTCTGTGCAATCTCCGATGTCATCGTCATCTGAGCTGCTGCTGGTGGCATCTTGCTCACTGTCAGTTGTTAGCCTGGTCGCCTTGGTGGCCTTGTCACATTTGTGGACGGCTGTCGTATAGTCCGCTACAGTGGTTAAAACACTCAATATAATTAATACATGATTACGTGCACTTTTTGTTGGTAGAACTTACGATAACTACGAATAATTCTTATCTTGTGAGCTGTCCACGATGAGTCCGGCATCGAGGACGAGACGATGGCCGCCTAAACCAGCTTGGAATTTTTCCATGGTGGCCACAGACATTTGTCGTTTTTTACCCAAGAAGTAGGGACAACGTCGATAGACTTCAGCTTGTTCTTTCTGGCGTTCACAAACTCCACCACGTGGTACATGCTATAAAATTTGAATATAAACACATAAGGGATATCGGTGAATGGACTCCATATTATTCGACAAAATCAAAAAGCTGAAGAACGATGGGCTCAAAAATCAGGATGGGCACCCAATTCCCGTATGGTGAACTAGCACAATATATATATATATATATATAATGAAGTTAAACCTTCGTAGTTTCCTCTACGCGGACTTAGGTGACCAACATTATTCGGCGTTAAGACAGGTACGTAAAAAGACTAAAATGAAA